CAGGGTCTCACTACTAGATGGGACTTGTAGTGATCCGCCTGTTTACAGCCTCCCAAAAGCTGGGATTACAGACACGCATCACCACGGCAGGCCCAGGGATTGAACCCCCGGCCCCCTGTGCCTGCTTGCAGGTGCTTTAATCCATTGAGCTATTTGGTGGGCCCTAAACTGTTTTCCAGAAAATAAAAAGAACTGTTTCCTGGAAGACACAATAATTGACATCTTAATTAGCGACATGAAGATGACTACTGCATAGCACTCAGTAACACTAGGTGCTGGCTGTGAAAGTTCGCCTCACAGAATTCAGGGACCAGGAAACTTAATCTCTAAAGTCACATGTCAATGAAATTTAGAGGTGAGACTTTTGGGAGGTGGTTGTGTCACGAGGGCCCTGCTTCATGAGTGAATTAAGCCTTTCAGGGATTAACAAATTACTGAGTCATCAAGAGAGCCTGTCTGTCCTAGAAGTGAGCACTTGCGGCACACTTGTGCTGTCTGCCAGGTGATGTTCTGCACTGCTTTCTTTTTCTTTTCTTCTTCTTTTTTTTTTTGTGGTGGAACTGGGGATTGAACTCAGGCCCTTGCGCTTGCCAGGCAAGCTCTTACTCTACTGAGCCATCTCCCCGGCCCATGCACTGCTTTGAGACTCTGCAAAATCATCACCAAGAGCTCCATCCACAGGCCTTTTTAAATTTTATGTATTTTAGTAGAGGGTCTATAGGGTCTCACTACACAGATCAGACTCTAGTGATCCTCCTGTTTTCAGCCTCCCAAGTGCTAGGATTATAGGTGCATGTCACCATGCCCAGGCTCAGTTGCCTTCCTAGTGCACCCTGGGGATGGGGCCAGCATGGCAGGCCGGGGGTTGAACCCCACTCACTGAGCTATCTGGCCAGCCCTTCTATAGGCCTTTTTATTTTGAGACAGGGTCTCCCCAATGAGGTGTCTTGGCTTTGAATTCCCAGGTTCCAGAACTACTTTTTTTGCTTTCTAAATGAATCACTGTCAGGTATTCTGTTATAGCAACAGAGAACGGGCAAGATACTGATGCTTGCCAGAGGAGTAATTAACACATAGAGCAGTATGAATATATCCCTTTAAGAATAATGACAGTGGGCCCAGGGAGATAGCTCAGTAGAATAAGCGCTTGCCTGGCAAGAGCAGGGTCCTGAGTTCAATCCCTGTTCCCGCAATGAAAAAAAAAAAAAAAAAAAAGGATAATGACAGTATAACTGCACATATTTATCAATCTCTGTTCAAGGTGTGAGAGGTCAGAGTTAAAGAACTAGATGAGGGGCTGGGGAGATGGCTGAGTGGAATAAGCACTTCCCTAAGCCTGAGTTCAATCCCTGGTTCCATTAAAAAAAAAAAAAAAAAAAAAAAAAAAAACTAGATGAGTAGCTAAAATATGACTTAAACCAGAATCACTGGGTAGGTGGCTGGGATTATAGCTCAGTGGTAACACGCTTCCTTAGTACGGGTGAGGTCTAGGTTTGATCCCTAATGTCAAACTAAATGAATAAAATTAAAACAAAAATGAAAAACCAATAAATAAATAAAACCAAGTAGAAGTTGAAAGAAATTCTCCCACCCACAGCATCTAGGATTAAACCAAAGGCCTCGTACACATAAGGCAAAAAGTCTATCACTGAGTTCCATTCCAGCCATATATATTATACATATACAAGTATTTTTTGGTACCAGGGATCAAACTCAGGACCTTGCACTTGTCAGGCAGGCACTTATGCTGTTGAGCTATCTTCCTGGTCCCCAGCCCTTTTTAAAATAAGGTCTCCAAGGGGGACCTGCCAGTTAGCTCAGTTGTTTAAGCGCCTGCTCATGCAAAGGAAGTCAGGCACAGGATACCATGGTTCAATCCCCAGCTCCACCTGCCTTATCAGACCCGCCCTTCAGGCAGCCTGAGCCACCAAACAAACAAACAAACAAACAAAACTTCTAAACTGTAAGGTCTCCAAGCTGAGTGTGGTGATGCAACTATAATCCCGAAACTCAGTAAACTGAGGCAGGAGGATGATGGAGAACTTGAGTCCAGCTTGGGGAATACAAGTATAGCACTAACTGGGAATGAAATTTAGAGGTGAGACTTTTAGGAGGTGGCTGGGATATAAGGGTCCTGTTTTCATGAATGAATTAACTACATAGACTCAATTTTTTTTTTTTTTTGGGGGGGGTGGTACTGGGGATCAAACTTAGGACCTTGCACTTGCCAGGCAGGTTCTTATGCCACTGAGCTGTATCCCCAGCCCCACCTACATAGACTCTGTCTCAAAAAACAAAAACAGGGCTGAGGAGATAGCTCGGCAGTCTGAGAGCCTGCCTGGCAAACGCAAGGATCTGAGTTTGATCCCTGGTACCACATGCTGTGCTGGCCCCGAAACCCCACTAGATGGTGCATGCCCGTAACCCCAGTGCTGGGAAGGCTGAGGCAGGAGGATCACTAGGAGTCTGAGCTGTGTAGCGAGACCCTGTACCAAACAAGTAAAATAAACAAAAACAAAATCATCACTGTCCTCCCCCACCCCCAAATAAAAAAAGATAAAAAACCCAAACATATTTATCATTATTTCTTATATCAAATATCACTCCAAGTATCAAAATACTGATTGCTGAAATGCAACACTGGCCTTCTAAAAAATAAGCTTCAAAAAGGGCCGGCCAAATAGCTCAGTGGATTAAAGCACCTGTTCAAGCAGATGCAGGGGCCAGGGGTTCGATTCCAGGCCTACTATGCTGGACCCAGTTGAGACAGGGACTGAGACTGGGCAGTGGTGTGTGCCTGGAATCACAGAGCTTGGGAGGCTGAAAAACAGGAAGGATAAATACAAGTCCAATCTGTGTAGTGAAACTGTGTACTTAATACATTTAAATTTTTAAAAAAAGCTTCATTTTACTATAACTCTGTGAATGAAGAAACAACATTTTAATTTATTCTTGTGGTAGTGGTGATTGAACCAAAGGTCCTTGCACTGACCTATATCCCCATCCGTTTTCAAAATTTTAGGATAAGGGCTTGATAAATTGCCCGGACTGAGCTTTAATTTGTGATTTTCCTGCCTCAGCCACTCAGAGTGCTGAGGTTATATGCCACCATACCTAATTAAGGAATAACTTTTTCTTGCGGTTTTATCAGTAGTAGTAAGAACTGGTAAAAATTATGATTGGATCCCATTAAGAGTGAATATGGTTCCTTCAATTCTCAAGAACCACTGAGTTATATGGATTACTTAGGTAAGGTCCCTTTATACATCAAATATTTGAGCATTCTAGTTAGGTCTTTTGAGTCTCCAATCTCTTTCTCTCTCTCTTTCTCTCTCTCTCTCTCTCTCTCTCTCTTTTTTTTTTTTTTGAGACAAGGTCTTGTTATATAATCCATGCTGGCCTTAAACTGACTATACGCCCAAGCTCGTCTTGAATTTGAGGTGATCTTTCTGCTTTAGTCTCCAGAGTGCAGGCATATCCCACCACACATAGCTTTTTTTTTTTTTTTTTTTTTGAGATAGGGTCTTACTATGCAGTTTGGGCTGGCCTTGGACTCACTATGTAGCCCAGGGTGGTCTCAAACTCAAAGACGATCCTCCTGCCTCACCCTCCCCCCACTGCAATGCTAGGACCACAGGAATGTGCCTCCACACTCCTTGAGTCTTCACTCTCTTGCCAAATATTTCTAGAACTCAAGAAACAGTTGACAATTTACCTCCTCTGAAGAACTCATTTTGCTCCCAGTTAATCCTGGGACCATTGGATTCATCAGATGGATCCGTTTTGAGTAGCCAAGTGCAGGAAGGTACTGAGAGATTACAAAAAAAACCACAAAAGCAGATATTAATTTAACAATCTAATATTTTTCCAATCTCTTTTCCACTGAATATACATATTTTCAACAGTGATCATAATGTAACCAAGGTTATTTTCTCTTAGTACTTTATTGTACAGCTACTGAACCTATGCTCCCACCATAAACAACAAAGGCTAGAAATATATAATACCCATTTGCAAGCACTGGGCAGGAACCAGCGCAGGGCTACTGATCTTGAGAAAAGGAAAGTTCATCCTAGCTTTCTTCAAGAAGAAAGTTTTTCTTTTTTCTTTTTGCAGAACCAGGGATTGAACTTGGGACCTTGTGCTTGCCAGGGAAGCACTTATTCTACTGAGCCATCTCCCCTGCCCCAAGGGGGCAGTTTTTCAAACCAAGGTGCTGAGAAAGTGACTACAGCCAGAACAAAGAGACAGAGACTGGTGCTCAGTTGCTAGGACACTAGGATTTGGGGTGAGTTCTAAAAAGAGAAGTATCTCCCCAAAAATCGTATGTTAAAATTCCCTGCTGATTTCTCGGTTGACTCAGAGCTATGTATGCAACATGATGAGATAACACTAAGTCAGACAGAGAACAGGCTCTGGGAAGCGGGAGACCTAAGTAGACATTCGGGGGCTGCCCAATACTGGGAACCAGAGGGTGAGCTCTGGGTTCAGTCCAAGTATGTGGGATTCTGTGAATGAATACCCCAAGATTTCAGTATGAGACCCTACAAAGTCTGCCGGCACGAATAATGACTTCATTGTTAAGAAGATGGGAAAACATGTTCTAACAAAGCCTAAAGTCACCCTCTAATATAATCAAAAGGTGAAAAGTCAGTAATTTAGAAGTCTTCAGAAAGCATAGCACTTTATAAGTAAATATAATCCAGATCCTCTGCATAATGTCCACAAACTCTCTAAAATGTCAAAAAAGTACTAGAAATGGGAAGCAAAAAAAAAAAGTGAGTCAAGAGAAAAGTTAACAGAAATAGATCTATACAATATAAGGGCCAGGATGTCAAAATACTTTGTACATTAAAGGAAATAAGAAAAGATGGACAAAATGGTCAAAAGATAAGAGAACTGTAAGAGTGGAGATCTACTAAAAAATTAAACTTCAAGATATAGCACTATCTTGGATTTAACAACAACAACAACAAAAACCTATCTTTTTTTTTTTTGTACTGGGGACTGAACTCAGGACCTTGTGCTTGCCAGATAGGCACTTACACCACTGAACTATCTCCTCAGACCGACAAAATAAAGGACTCAACACCCAAAACTAAACCAAAACCCCAAAGCAAAACAAAATGAAATAAAAAAATAAAACTAAAGCAGAGAATGGGCAGAGATTTAGCTCAAAGGCACCACGGCTGCCTGGCAAACGTGAGGTCCTGAATTTGATTCCTGGTACCAAAAAAAAGAGAAGGAATAAATAAAGGAAAACAATTAAAAAATATTACACATATGGCACAAGAGATTTAACTTATGTATAACTGAAATCTTAGGAGAAAAGAGTAAGACAAACAATATTTGAGGAAATAATGGCTGATAATCTTAAAAAATTTGATGAAAATAGCAATTCAAATTCAAGAAATCAGCAAAATCTAAGCAGGATAGATACCGAGAAAATTTTAGCTCAAAACATTATAATAATAAAGACAAATTTATTTTATTTAGTGATTCTGTATTTACTTATATAGTATAGGGGGTTAAACCCAGAACATTCACACTGAGCTACATTCCTAGCTCTTTTTCTTCTCTTACATTTTGAGACAGTTGCAATAAGTTGTTAAATTTTCCAGGCTGGGTTGACCTTACAATCCTCCTGGCCCAGCACTTCAAGAATCTTTCTTTTTTGTGTGGAACTGGGGATTGAACCCAGGCCCTTGCACTTGCCAAGGAAGCGCTTATTCCACTAAGCTATCTCGCCAGCCCCTCAAGAATCTTTCTAGGGGCTGGAGAGATGGCTCAGTGGTCTAAAGCACCTACTTGGAACAAGCTTGGCAAAGTACAGGGACCACGGTTCGATCCCCCAGCACCACATGCCAGCCAGCTGCGCCCCCTGGTGGGCTGAGCTGCCCCCCCACACACACACACAATAAATAAATGTTAAAAAAAAAAATTAAAAAAAGAATCTTTCTAGGTGCTAGGATTACTGCATTTTCTGAAAGCAGTGTTTAAAAGCATGGGCCATAAGAGCTGGTTTAGAAAATTTTATAAGCCTCAGACAAAAGACATTATTATCTTCAAAAGAGAACAGTAAGGCTTACAATGACTTCTCAAGGGAAACTACAAAAACCAAAGGCAATAGAACGATTACTTCAAAAAATGAGAAGGGCTGGTGGGGGGAGCTCAGTGGGACAGCACGTGCCCAGCACACACAAGGACCTGGCTGTTCAATACCCGGCATCACAGAAAATAAAAAAAGGAAAGCAGAGAATGATAAATGATTGCAAACCTAGAGCTGCATTATAAACACAAAATACTCAGGGGGGTTCTTAGGTTGTAAAGTAAATGAACTCGCATGGAAACACGAAACCATAGGAAGAAATTACCACTACCAAAAAGAGCAAGTAGGGATAAATATACATGAAAATTGACTGTTTAAAAGATAACTACAGGGGCTGGTGAGATGGCTCAGTGGTCTAAAGCACCTACTTAGAACAAGCTTAGCAAAGCACAGAGACCATGTTTCAATCCCCCAGCACCACATGCCAGCCAGCCCTGCCCCCTGGTGGGCTGAGCTGGACACACACACACACACACACACACACACACACACAAATAAAATTAATTTTAAAAAAAGAGTAATTGTGAGTGGAGAGGTGAGAAGTTATTAAAAAAAATTAAAAAAAAAAAAAAAGATAACTACAAGGGCTGACGAGATAGCTCAGTGGACTAGACCCCTTCTTTGGCAAGCACAGGGACCAGGGTTTAATCCCTGGTCCTCAATGCATGCTGGCGCTGGCCCATGCTGAGCCAGTGACCGGTCCGGGCATGGTGGCACATGCCTGTAATCCCAGAGCTGGGCAGGCTAAAAACAGGAGGATCACTACAAGTTTGAGCTGCGTAGTGAGACCCTGTACCAAATACATAAAAAAAGAAAAGATAACTGCAATGTTTTGGGAATTTAAAATATATTCAAAAATAGGGGCTGGAGAGATGGCTCAGTGGTACCTGTATCTAAAGCACCTACTTGAAACAAGCTTGGCAAAGCACAGGGACCGCAGTTCGATCCCCCAGCACCACATGCCAGCCAGCCCCGCCCCCTGGTGGGCTGAGCTGGCCACACACACACACACACACAATAAATAAATGTAAATAA